TTTTTTTTTTCTTAAAACACCCTTGTAAATAACTCATGGGCTAAAGAGTATATCACAAATGAACTAACAAAATATTTAGAACTAAATGGCAGTAAAAAATACTACCTGTCAAATCATGTGGGATGCTATTAAAGTGGTACTTACAGGGAGATGTATAGTTCTAAGTGTTCTCATTAACAGGAATGATTAAATGAGTTAGCATGCAGGTCAGGAAGGTAGAAAAAATAGTAGAAAAAACTCTGAAGAAAATAGAAGGAAGGAAATAAAAAGCCAAGAACATGCTAGTAAAGTAGAAAGCAAATGTTGAAAAGAACAGAGACAATCAACAAAACCAAAATGCTGTCTCTCTGAAAAGACTAATAAAATAAATAAACCTCCATCTAAGACTGATTAAGGAAAACAGAAAAAAGATACAAACAGGGACTAGGGATGCAGCTCAAAGGTAGAACGTTTGCCTAGCATGCACAAGGCCCTGGATTTAGTCCCCAACACCATAAAACAATATCAACAACAACAAAAAGCCAACAAATAGTATTACAGCAACGAACGAGTGGCATAACTACTAACAGATATGAAGTCTTCCGAGATTACCAAAACCAACTTTGTATCAATGCATTTAAAGAGTACTTCTATGGAAATTGACCCAATAAGGAGTAGGAAACCTAAGCATTTACCCTTAAAGAACTGTAAAGTATCCTCCTAATAAAGGATAGCGGCCCAGAGTGTCACAAACGAGTTTTAGCATACTTTCAAGGAATGGAAAAAAAAAAAATCCCTGTGTTAGAAAAACCATTTCAGAGAATAAGAAGCTATCCTGAAACTTTACTTGACTGTCAGGAATAACACCTTGCTATCAAAACCTGGCAAGGGAAGTACAAGAAGAAAAAAATAGGTCAATGTTGCTTTTGAACATAGATGTGAAAATCTAAATAAACAATTAGCCAATTAAATTCAGCAGGATATTAAAAATGATACATCATAACCACATGGAGTTTTACCCATGGAATGAAAAGATGGCTTAACAGAAATGTAATCCACCAGGTTAACAAATTAAAAACCATGTGATTATCACAGCAGATGCGGAAAAGCATTCAGTAAAATTCAACACTTTCGTAATGTGCTACATGAATCAAGGGAACAGGCTAAATTTAGAGTCTTATGGTGAATCCCTTTATAAAGCAGATTCCATCCCATTTATATTTTAAGTAAATACAGATTTTCAAATATTAGATTATCTTTTCATACAGGTTCATTTGCATGTCAAAATCTAAATATATCTAGAAGCTGGGCCCAGTTTCTGGGAGAACAGAAAAAGTCCACACACAAGACAAAAAATAAGGATGACCTTGAGGGTGACTAATTGCATTTTCCATATTTCAGTGGCAGATAGCTTTAAGTATCCACTTCCTCTGAGGTACCCAGAAAGACCCCATTTTTCCTACTGTGAGAGTGGTGTCCCGCACATGGGTTGGGTGAAAGGAGGTATGTCTGTCCCCAGGGAGACCTGAAGTGAGTGCTCCAGCCTGGTGTGACCTCAGCCATCTTCTTTATTGACTATATTTTTGGTTGGTGCTCTTGTCTTACTCTCTTTTGCGTGTACAGGTCCAAACTGAAGACAGTGCATGAGCGGATCCCTTTGGCTGGACTGAGCAAGTTGCCCAGTGTCCCTCAGATTGCAAAGGTAAAATCAAATGCCTGAGGAGGTAGCTTCCTTTGTCAGCCTGGGCTGGCCTCTGGGGTAGGGATGGTGGCTCTGTCCTTGGGAAAGGGGAAGACACTTTTCTCTTTGGCCCTTGACTGCATGGAGGAGGTGGGAGCTGTTGGTAGCTGCCTCCATTTTCCCTATCCCTCCCCAGTTTATCCTTGCTACTTAGGCTTCTCTGGGAATAGTATCACCAATCTGTGGTCTCTGCCCCAAGTAGTCACAGCTAGAGAAATGGGAAGGCAGGGTTGGCCCTGGAGTGTGCCATGGGGTGTCTGGGGAGGGTGGGGAGTGAGCAGACAGGGCAACTTTCACAGAAGAGGAGAGGCTGAAGGATGGTCCAGATCCAGTACTGCACTGAATAAGGAACTGTCAGCTGACAGAGGGGCCTATTTCACCACATGGTTTGCATGGAACTTGGGAACTGTTGGCCAAGTGAGGTGGGACAGGTGCGTTGCTGGGTAGAGTTGGACCCTCACTCTGGGAACAGGAATGCTGGGAGAATTGTGCTGAATGCTTTTGGTGGGAGCTGGGGTAGGGTGGGTAACTTTTGGTGTTATCTTCTGGCAAGAATAAGGATAAGTCTCAGGCTTTATTTTGTTCCTCCTCTCACTTTATCAGGAAACCCCAGAAAGGTCTGAGCACATATTAGCAAGCAGCAGAGCCAAAATTTGAGCCTAAGCATCCCAATCCCGTGTTCCTTGCCCTCCCATGCTGTGTTCTTTTGGTAGGCAGAGGATCCCAGTGGACTCAATGGATATGTTCCCTGAACTGTGTGTGTTTTTCCCTATTTAGGCTTTTTGTGATGATGCAGTGGGGCTGAAATTCAACCCTGTCCTGTACCCCAAGGTGAGAACCTCATACTACTTCTTTCCTGTTGTCTAGCACCACTCTGCAACTTGGCATGGATTTGCACACTTGTGACTCTGCAGGGAGCTCTTTGCATTGTGGTAGGGTTTTGTGGTCTCTCTGTGATAAATCTCTATGTCTCCCTTTCTCCCTGCCAACCTCTTCACAAATTGGTCCACTGGGAACCCATCACCAGGCAGACCTGGGTTTCCAGCCCAGTTGAGTAGGTCCTTATCTTGTTGTGAAGGTGGCAGAGGGTAACAGTTTTATAGCTTCTCTACCTTGTCCCAATTGTACCTCCCTAAGGCTAGTACTGGGATGGGGCATAAGTCTACCTGTAGCTGGGGTAGGGATGGCTGGTGCAGATCCACTCTGTCATCTTGGAGGGGTGATGATACAGAGCGCAGAAACCCACTAAGAAGTAAAAGGCAGGTCTCGGCTTCCCATTGCCTACTTTACCACAGCTCTGAGGTCTTAAAAACCCCTGCTGGCCTTAGTTAATAAACTTGCTGGTTCTTTGATATCAGTTTTCTTAAGGTTGGCCCGATCTTGACCCTAGTTATGATATGGGAGTGTGAACGGGAAAGGAGCAATAATAACAAAACAAACCAACAAACCCACTCAAGAACAATTATGGTACGGAAGGACTTAAATCATCCCCAATGGAGAATTACTTGAAATTGGCCACAGGAAAAGATCTCATGCACCAAGTGCTCCTTCATGGGACTGGAGGGAGAAAATGGAGCAGAGCTGAGCTCTGAGCTTTCATTGTGGTCAACGCTGTGGCAGCTGAGGCTTGCTGGGGCTGACTCTGTCCGTTCCCTGAGTCCCAGCTCTGACAGCCAGGAGCCATGAGTTGAAATGTCTGGTAGGGAAGGGAGGCCCTCATCCTGGCCAGGATATCCAGACTCACTGGCACAAATGTCCAGGACTGGGCAGGGCACTCTCAGAAGCATCTATATCCATCTGCAGTGGCTGCACAGAGCCCTTCTTCCAGAAGCCTCTTTTTAGCTGTTTTAGCATCTGTAGACACTTACCAGTAAAATGCTACACTCTATTTTTTAAATCATTCAGACTGACCTCCCTTTGTAATTAAAGCTGAGTTAGTGACGGTTAACCACACATTAGAACCTTATCATAAAGGCCTAACTAAACTACATGTTGGGCAATTCTTGTTGTCAAATCATATCCACGTGAGAATCCAACATTGTGCATTTCTATAGAACTCTCTGACTTGGAAATCCTCTGGTCTTGGTAATAATGAAGAGCCACTGTATTTTCATGTTTTCTATATTTGAATTCTGACTGGGTTGTGAATATGGCTGAGATTTGTGTGTGTGTGTGTGTGTGTGTGTGTGTGTGTGTGTGTCTAAAATTTACAGAGTTTAGAATGATCCTTGGGAGATCTTCATGGTCTGGTTCCTCTCCCTGGCAGGGCAGCTGTTCCTCCCCTCCTCCCTTTTGACTCATCTCAGGCAGGAGTAGAGGGCTTCCTCAGGCAACAGGGCTCTTACTGAGGGAGCTGAGAATTGTCATTTTCTCTGGCAGCTGAGAACCTCATAGAGATATAATGAGTGCCGACTTAACGTGGGTTGTATATTTCAGCCAATAAGTTTGTTTTTCCCCTAGCATAACACATGATTGAATCCCTTCTTTTTATTGCAGAAGTTATCCTAACAGCAACAAAATGTGCTTTTTCTAAACAAACTGGTTCAGCTTTGATCTTTTTGGAGGGTTCCATGGATGATGAGGATGATGGTAGCTGTTCTGTGCTCAGCACTTTATGTGGTCTCATTGAATCTTCATACTTACACATCTCCATTTAACAGAGGAGGAAAGTGAAGTCCAGAGAAGTTAAGTGGTTCACTCAAACCTGCGTGGTCAAAGCAGCAGATTTAGAACTAGAGTGTAGTGTTTTTGACCCCAGACAACAACTCTATGAGGCAAAATAGAAAATTAGATAGAACCAGTGGTCAAGAGTTTTTATCTTTTCTCTTTGCATATCTTATTATTCATTATTCTTCATTTTATGCATAAAGGGATAGGAGTCTGGGCAGGAACAATGACTTGCTTGAAATTATATTGCTGAAAAGAGGTGGAATTAGAACCAGAGTCACCTTACTGACCAGTTTGGAGTTTGGCTTTACTTTTTCTGTCACAGACAAGGGTAAAGTCAGGTCCTTGAGTCCCAGTGGACTCCTTATGTGCTGGCACATCTGGATGGGAACAGAATGGCTGATCAGAGGTTTGGTTACTGCTGGTGAAGCCCAGGTGTTGGAAGCTAACTGAGACCTCTGGAGTGGCATCCTGATTTTCTGCTTATTATTTCTCTCTCTTCTTCTTTACGGGTAGATGTTTTTCATCAGGAGCATATTCTCTGCCAAAATGGGTACTTCCCCTTCTGTTTGCTTCTTGACTTGCCTCCAAATTAAAAACAACCTTAATTTTTTTCCCTTCTACATTTTCCAGGCCTCCCAAATGATTGTGTCCTATGATGAGCATGATGTGAATAACACATTCAAGTTTGGGGTCATTTATCAAAAAGCAAGGCAGGTAAGCATTGTGAATCCACCCTGGTCACTATGTCCTATGCTTTCTTATTTTAGTCTCTTTTCTCCCTCCCTACCCTAAGCAAATGAACCTGAAGTCTTTTAGAAGGTAGTATAGGTTTTCACGTAGTAAAGCCTCACTCTTCCTGGCTGTCTCAGCTTATATGTTATCTATGGGCTGGTCTGAAAGACCAGCACTGAGTTAGTTGCTCAAAAAATGGTTCTCAAAGTGTCATTCTGTGAGACACTAGTCTGGTGAAGCAGTTTATGAGCAAATAACTTGGGGAGGGGGTGTCTGTTGTGTAGGAACATTTTAAAGACCCTAAGAACTCTCTAGGTAAAGACTTCTTTGTAACTTTGTTGAACTCACTGTTTCCCATATTTCTTTGACCACTAACTTCCCATGTTCCCTACCTGTTTTGTACAATGGATGTTTATTAACATCCCAAGCAGAATGGTCAGGTAAACATACTGATGTCTCCTCATCTAGGTTCTGTGAGAAGAAGATTCTACTATCATTTCATCTTTGTATCATCCAAGATCCTAGCATGGTGAAACACACACACACACACACACACACACACACACACACACACACACACGTGAATTAATGAATGAATGAAAAGATTGGCTTTGCTAATGGCAGATTAGTAGAGTCCTCTCATATAATTTGTGGGGTTTTTTTGCACGATAGTCTCTTTCTTGCCTAGATGATAGTTGATTTCCTTGTCTGAAGATTATTAGATGACAAGTGACATGTGTTTGCTTAAAAACTCTAATTATGTGAGGAGTTTAGGGTCTGAAAGACCAGCACTGATGAATCATATAATTTAAGGGAGATTATTCAAGTAACCACTTTAACTATTTTCACATATTACATTTTTATTTCTTATAGCTCGGCTAATATAACCCCCATAATTAAAGTTCTTTGCTTGTGAAATTTATCAAAACAGATTTTATAAGGAGATTATAATCCAATGCTCCAGTAAAGTTATAATTGTTGAACATTTAACCATTCACCTCTGAGAAGGAGTCTGTGTGTTGTTTATGTACCTGATGCTGCTTCAGGGGGTGGGAGGAGAACCAGGAAGATTAAATTCTTTTTTTAAAACACTAGGCAGATTGTTGTTTTGCAGACCTACAGCTGGGGGACATTTAATATGAACATTTGCTGCATAAAAGCCCTATACTGGTCTTTGGATATAAATAAGCCTCAGCTAACTCTCCTGTTTGTCATGTACTGTGATAAGCACTGTGGGGGATGTAGAGATGACTAAGGCCCCCTCCCTGAGTGCATGGTCAAGTTCAAGGCCAGTATAAAAATAATGACAATGCTAATAATACCAGGCTGGGTGTGAATCTTGAAAGAGAGGCGCACGCCCAGAACACACATAGACTGTTTTCTTGCCTGGGAGCAGTGGCTCTCACACATCTAGACCTTATGATCTGAGGCAAACTGGATGCTTGGCCAGAGCTGTAGCACCTCTGTGGTATGCTGAAGACCAGGGATCAGAAGACTTTTTTGATAAATAGCCAGAGAATAGTTTTCAGACTTTGTGGGTGTTGGGATCTTATCATAATCACTTTGCTCTGCTTCTGTAGTATAAAAGCAGCCGTACTACAATATGTAAATGAGTTGGCCTGGCTGTATTCGAATAAAACTTTATTTATAAAAACAGAAAGTTGGCCAGACTGGCCATAGTTTGCTGACCCCTACTAGAAAGGGGTATTTCTGAACTTAAGAATTTCACAGATCACACTCAGGATCTGTATCATATCTTTTATTCTATTATAGACCAATATTGCATTTTTATCACACCTATACTATTAACTACTAAATATTTTCTTTATAAAGTTTTTTTTTTAAATAAAGTGCATTTATTCATTCATTGATTCTCTTTTCAGTTTTGGGGATTGAACCCAGGCCTTGTACATGCCAGGCAACTGCTCTACCATTGAGCTACATCCCTAGGTCATAGTGCATTTATTTTTAGAAGAAATCTTAGATCACTACTCTAATTGGAAAACCAGTATTACATGCCATGAAATGAAAATAATTCTAAAAAGAAATACTACTAAAAACAAAATAAAGTTATTGATACCTACTAGATGCCTCTTGAAGGTTTGGAGGTTTGGAACCTGAGGTCTGCTGTTATTTGTAATGAAGCAGGCACGAGTGGTAGAGCACCTGTTTATCATGGACAGGGTGGGGGTTCCATACCCAGCATGGCTGAAAATAATAGCAGGCATTGGTGGGGGGGGTGTGTGAAAGACTCACATTTATCTTATGGAGACTTGTCCTTGAAGCGATTACAGTGTTTTTGTGTGCATCCATTCCTCGCAGTCCATAGATGTTTGCAGAACCTTCTGACGTTTGTAGAAACATCAGCTGTTTGTGGATCTTGCCACTGTGGGCAGAGCTGTTGATCACGAGGGTTATAGCCAGTATTTTAAGCCTATAGCTGTTTGCAGAGTTTGCTACTGATCTCAGCTTTTTTTTTAAGCTATTCAACTTTTTTGTCTTAGATATTTGTAAGAAATAATAAAAAGATATCTCATGTACCTTTGACCCATTTTCTCCCAAAGGTCTTATAAAACTATAGCATGATATCAAGATTTGACATTGACAAAATACACTGCTCTATCTTTCTATCTATCTGTCTATCTATCTATCTACCTATCTTTGTGTATGCTGTGTTTGTATGTGTTTCATTCTGTGTCACTTTATCCCTGTGTAGGTTCCATGGTCAAGGAACAATTCCATGGCCATAGTGTTTCCTTGTATTTTACTTTTATAGCCATGCCCATCTCCCTCCTGCCTCCATTTTCCCTTCCCCCTCTAGTCCCTAACCTCCCAACCATGACTCTGTTCTCTAACTTCAAAAACTTTACTTCAAAATGTTACATAAATGGAACCACGCAACTTATAGTCTTTCAGGGTTGCTTTTTTTCTGTTTAGCAGATTCATTTTAGTTCTCAAGTGTGTCACTAGTTTTTTTTTTTTTTATTGCTGGTGGGATTCCGTGGTATGGCTGTACTACAGTTCATTCATTCATTTATTGAAGGACTTCCAAGTCATTTCCATCTTTGTGCTATTATGAATAGAGCTACTATGAACATTTGTGTACAGGCATTGGTTTTATTTGAATCTAAGTTTTCATTGCTCTGGGATAAATACTTAGCAGTACAGTTGCTGATTGTATGGTAATTACATGTCTAGTTTTGTAAGAAACTGCCAAACTCTTTTTTGGAGTGATTATTACCTGCATCAGTGTATGAGGGATCCATTTTCTCTACATCCTTGCCAGATTTGGTGTTGCCACTATTTAAAAAATTTTTGTGATTCTTACAGATGTGTGATAATATTTCATTGTGGTTCTAATTTGTGCTTCTCTAATGGCTAATGATATTTGACATCTTCTCATGTGCTTATTTGCCTTCCGTATATCCTTTTAGGTGAAAAGTCTACTCATGTCTTGACCATTTTCTAATTAAAATTTTTCTTACTGTTGAGCTGATTTTTAAAATAATAGCTTTATCAAAGTATAATTCTCATACCATGCAATTCACAATAGTATGTGGTTTATATCTTCATAATGGGGTTTTTAGTGTAATCTCAGGGTGGTACCACAATACCTTTCTAATTCCAGAAAATTTTCATAATTCTCAAAAGAAATCCAATACCCAATAGTAGTCACTCCCCACCCTCATTCCCTTAGCTTCTGGCAACCACTAATCTCCTTTCTGTCTCTGTGGATTTACCTATTCTGGATCATTTACAAGTGGTAGCATACTATATATCACCTTTTGTGTCTATCTTCTTTCACTTAGAAAATTATTTTCAGGATTTATCTGTGTTGTAGTGTGTATCTGTACTGAATTCCTCTTTATGGTCAAATAGTATTCCTTTTTATGAATAAGCTACATTTTTAATCCATTCATTAATTGATAGGTATTTGAGTTATTTCCACTTACGGACTGTTAAGCATAGTGCTGCTATTAACACTCATGTATAAATTCTTGTGTGGACATGTGTTTTCATTTCTCTTGGATATATACCTGGGAGTGGAATTGCTGGGTCATATGGTAACTCTATTTTTAGCCTTTTGAAGATCTTCTAGACTGTTTTCCAAAGCAGCCACACTACTTTACGTTCCCATCAGTAGTAAATATGATTTTTCCACAGCCACACCAACACTCATTTGTATTTCTTTCATTGTATTTTTGATTACTATAGAGTTTTGTGAGTTTTTTGTATATTCTTGATACTAGTTCTTGTTGAAAGTCCAATTATCAATTTTTCCTTTATGGATCCTGTTTTTGGCATTGCGTCTAAGAGCTCTTTGCCTCAGCTTTGCCTCAGATAGAAAGGTCTCATCACCCTGTTCTGACTACCCAGCTCTGCTGAGTGATCCTCCATTAATCCTTCCTCCAGTTGAGGACAGCTATGGTGAATGTATTGGGAGATAGAAAAGAAGGAAGAAAGGGATCAGGGATCTGGACAACCCTATTCCTTCACTTGACACCAACAAGACTTTTTCTAACTCCCATTTTTCTATTTTTGTTTCAGACCCTGGAGGAGGAGCTATTTGGGAACAATGAGGAAAGCCCAGCTTTCAAGGAGTTCTTGGACCTGCTAGGGGACACGATTACGCTGCAGGACTTCAAAGGGTGAGTTTTAGCCAACGGAGGGATGCAGCTTCATTGATGAGTCTCTAGAGGAAGGGGTCAGAGGCAGACAGTCAGTCCTCAAGGAGAGGATGTGAGAGTTAAGCACACACACAAGGAACATCAGGACTCTTACTCAGCATCTGATCCGCACTCACTCACACACATTCCTCAAGAATCAGTGGTCCAAAGGGTAATTCAACATGGCAGGTTGTCTGAAGGGCACTGACATTTGGTTTTAGGATGTGTGATGAGATTGTTCCCTCTGAGATTTGCCTTCCTAATTACATTTGATTCAGACTGAGAGTGAAATGAATCAAACTTCCCTACTACTCACCTGCCAGGCAAAAGAAAACCCTGTGCAGTTTGGAAAGAAATGACCCATTTTGGATAATACACAGAGAATGGATAATTAAGAGTTCATATAACTATAATAACCCTCAGGTAGAAATTCATACAACAGCATATGGTTATTTAAGTAGACAGAGAGACTATTGGGACTGTTGGTTGGAAGATTCTGGCTCTTTTTCCTTGGCAAAGGCAATACTTGGGATTATTTCAGATCCATGCAGCTAAGTGTCTAGCACATGGTTGAGGGTTCTGGAATTCACCCCTCTCCCTATTGATACAAAGTAACAGGAGCTCCTAACATCATGGGTAAAAACACCTAGCCCAGTTGCTTGGCATGCAGTGGGTATTCAATAATTGCTTTCTTCCCCTTCTTCCTTCTCTTTTCCCTCTACCTTCTTCCTCCACCTTTTCCCCACTTCAAAGTCACTACTTCGGTTTAGAGTCAATTACCTGGGTTAAAATGCCACTTCTGCAACTTACTCGCTCGAAGACTTGGGAATAAGTGACTTTACCTTGACAAACCTCAGTTTCTTCATGATAAAAAGGGAGATAAAGATAATATTGACTCTACAAAGTTTTTGGAGAATTAAAATAGATACTTCACATTAAGCACCTGAGCTACAACCATACAGTGGTTGTCATTGTTATTGTTCTTATTTTACTGTCTGTCATTGACCTTGAGGTATCATCTGATTTTGGCAATGTAAAAATGTGATGAGATACATTGTATTAGTTTCAGAAGGACCCCAGAGATCATGTAATGTTAAACCATTATGCTCTAGAGAAAGGAAACTTAAGGCCTAGAGAGTGATCTGAGTGATATGGGCATGTATTCATTTAGTGCCAGAAGCAAGTCTAGAACCTGGAATTGCCCAACCAGAATCCTTTCTGCAATGCTGTGCTGAGCACATTTTCTGGCTTGTATTAGGTGTGATGGGTCTGACATCCAGAGTTCCTCTTACTTCATTTTCTCAGAGGAACCCATATCTGCTTTCTTTTCCTCTTGCTGAAGACCTTGGTCCCGGGCTGGCAGCCATGCTCCTATGAAGCAGAAGTATAGCTCCTGGAAAGCCACTGGTTCCTTCCTGTTTTTCTTCCCTGCCTGTAAGGAGGCAGCCTAAGAAGGGCCCTCCCTGGATGCCCCAAGCTGGGGGCTGCCATTGTTGGGCATCCATTTCAGGGACTGGCTAGATAGGAGTTGAGTATCTGTCCCCAGTCCTGGCTGATTCTAGATGATACTATGGGATCACCATCACCCAGCATGATGGCTGGCTGCTCCGGCTCTGTTTTGATGGCTTGGGTGTGGCCTTGCAGAGAGCAAAGGCCTGTGCTCAGCCTTGGAGGCCACAGGCAGTTGGGAGCAGCATTTGTGTATGATGGTGGATGAACAGCCTCCCTTCCCACATGACCAGTTTTGTGGAGGGGACACAGCTAACACTTGAAGCAGGTTCTGTGTTTATCTTTTGGATAACAGTTTTATGGTTAGAATGCCAGGGGCAGTCTTCATGTCCCTGCCATCCTGCCGCATACTCTCCTCTGCCTGCAACTCTTACCCACTCACCTGCTGCATGTCCTTAAGGAAAATGGTACCATGTTGCCACTTCACCTCATTCTCTCTCCTGCTCCTGCCCAATATTACTGACAGTTTCCGAGGAGGCCTGGACGTGACCCATGGACAGACAGGGGTGGAGTCAGTGTATACAACATTCCGGGACCGGGAGATCATGTTTCATGTCTCCACAAAGCTGCCATTCACCGAGGGAGATGCCCAGCAGGTAACAGGCTGGGAGGGCTTTGGGGGCTGTGGTGCCTGGTGTGGAAGGCATGACCTGGATCCTGGTTATTTTCACTTGGCCAATGGGACATTGCAGCCTGAGGTGGACCATTAAAGACTTTGAGGCTGAGAGTGTAAACTCAGTGGCAGAGCACTCGCCTGCCGTACAGAGGTCTTGGATTCCATCCCTAGTACCAGGAGAAAGAAGGACCTCCTTGAGGTTTCCCAGCTGATCAGGAGTTGAGTTGGTAGCCAACCCCTGGGGGCCCTAAGCATATAGTGCGGGTAAAGGGTCCATAGTGAAGTCAGCGAGTAGGGCCTTGAGGCCAGCAGAGCCGCCAAGGGTTGTGTGACTCGGGGAAAACTGGTTACCTATGGCTTCATTTTTCTTATCTGCAGAATGGGGATAGTCAAAGAGCCGTTGTAGGGTGTCATAAGTTTCTGAATGCAGGGCTCCAACACTCAGTGCCTGACATGGTTTCCTGTGTAACAGCTGTTGTCTGTCCAGGCCACTAGTCTTTTTGCCTCCCAGCTGCCCCAGCAACGTGAAGCTTTTATTGCATGAGGATCCCCTCTCCACCACTTATGCTTGCCTAGACTCACAGCCTCAGGCAGATATGGAATTGGGCTTGCCTGTGGATGGGAATTGGGCTTGTCCCTCACCTGGGGACTCTGGGTGTGACCCATGTCTCTCCAGCATTCACTTGCTCCCTCTGAGGTTTGCTGTTCTGACAGCTGCACATCCCTGGGAAAGGCCTGGCTCTTCTGAAACCAGCAGCTGATCCTGGTGGTTGTGACTCTGGTCACCCAATCTCACGTTTTGCTCCTTCCTATCTCTAGGGAAGCAAGAAGGGGAGATGGGCATGTGCCCAACTCTGACCTATTTGTTTCTGAGCAGGAAACTGAGGAGGGAGCTGAAATGTAAAATTATAAACATAGTGCCTGGCTTCTTAGAAAAAAAAGAAATTGGCAAATGAAATTATGATTTGGCTCTCAAATAACTACTGAATGTTCCAGAAACAAATGGGTGCAGAATTCCTTTTATAGCCAAAGTGGGTTTTTTCTCAGGGTCTCACCTTTAGTCTCTGTTCCTTCACAGTCCCCCCTCACCTGCTACCCTAGCCGGGGGCTTGTTCTCTCAGGGCCACTTCAGCCTGAAGTGTGTCAACTGGGAAGTACACCTTGGCATGGAGCTTGGCTCTTGGAGGGGACTGAATAAATATTAGTTTTCTTTTCCTGAGAAATGGAAGATTGTGGAATAAGTGGAGACAACTTGCATAAAGGTGGAACTCATGCTAAAGGGTTGAGTATAGGGTGTGCATGTAGTAGGTACTTAATAAAGAACCAAATGCATGGGTAAGTACCTAATCAGGACCTGGTTACAAGAAGGCTGTAACATTTGAAATCAGTGCATGTGAACAGGCCAGCATGTTCCTGACACACCGTATAAATGCTTGGTAACTGAAATCACGTGCCAAAGCACCTGATACTGTTTTGGATACTGAGTCAGGGTCAGGTTCCCCACTCCACCCACCTTTCCCAGCCAGGTGATCTGAACTTCTCTAAGCACAACTTCTCTTTCCTCTGACCAAAGTGGGTTTTCCCTCTACCCTGTTCCTGCCTATCCACATTTCCGTCAAGACCCCACACCATCTCCTCTTCTAGGAAGCCTTCTCAGGTTGTCCTCTGATTTCAGCCCCCTCACTGTCCCCAGATCTGCCAGGTACTTTGTGTTCAGCAGCTGACTTAGTACTGGCTGGCAGCTTTGTTGGTGTTCTCAGGTGGCTTCTCCTGTGTTTGGGTTTCTCCTGGATCAATTACAGGCTCTCCCAGGGCAAGACCTGGCCTCACCTTTGAAAATTCTCCCCAGGGTCCTACTCAAGGCTCTGTGTACTGTCAAGCTCAGTAAAATGTTTGTTATCTATTACTTAACAACTTGGGCATTGTCCCTATTTTTTTGACTTCTAAGGATTGAAAGACACAGCTCCCTGGAGAGCTAGGTCTCAGAGTTCAGGGTTTATGTACAAAGGTAAAATAATGAAGAATTTCCCATACAGCTCTCTTCTGCTTTCAGGGTGTTCCTAACTGGCTTGTAACAATGGAACACTTTTTGTTTAGCTCCAGAGAAAGAGACACATTGGGAATGACATTGTGGCCATCATCTTTCAAGAGGAAAATACACCATTTGTTCCAGATATGATTGCCTCCAATTTCTTACATGCCTACATTGTTGTGCAGGCTGAGAGCCCAGGCACAGAGACCTCATCCTACAAGGTAAGGGGAGAGCCTTGTTGGAGGAAGTCAAGGGTCCAGACACCTGCCCATACTGTGGACTCAGGGTAGCAAAGTACACTGGTTCTCAACAGAATTGTGGTTTCCGTGGGCTGTTGGGTTTCTGGGATTTGGAGCTAGGTTGTTGGTGGAAAGCACCTTCCAAGATCACCTCAACCATCTTGCTGCCTCCAGGCTCAACAGCATCTAACTTGAGGGTTCAGAAGTCCTGAGTTCTGTGTTTGGAATCTGGTGATGTCGTCTACTGGAGTAAGGCTGAGTGGGAGGGGAGGAAAAAGAGAGGTGGAGGAGACAACCAGGAAGGAGGAAAAGAAGGGTGATAGCAAGCAGAGGGAAGGAAGACAAAAGGGATATTTGAGAAGGGTGGAAGGGGGCCTGGTAGACCCTGGCCCCTGGACCAGCCCTCTGATCTGGCTGTTCAGGATAAATGAGTGATCTTGATTTAAAGACTTGAGTGAGGTAGGGATGCAAGACCTGTGTTAAGCCTCCTGATCAGTGAGTTTCAGGTTTTTAGTTTTTCTTCCTAAGATACGTGGAAGCTAGGAAAAAAGTTTACCTGGCCAGGTGCATGCCGATAATTCCAGCACTCAGGAAGCAGAAGGATTGACAGCTGAAGGCCATCCTGGGTTATATAGCAAGACCCTGTCTCTAAAAACGGAAAAAGTCAACCTGAATATAGAATAGTGATTAACAAAGGCTGAGAAAGAACGGGAGAATGGATAAAGGGAGGTTGGACTTGATCAGTGCATGCTGTACACATATGTAGAAACATTATACTGAATCACATTACTATGTATAGTTAATACATGTTAACTTAAAAAAGAGAAGAAATGGAGGGTGTGTATAAAATAAGATGATTTGCATGAAAGTGCTCAGCAGATTGGCACACACTCCTCACAGCTCCCTGCTCCACAAAATGTTGGGGGAGGAGAAATGAGCTTGTCATTGCTAATGGGAGATAACAAGGCTTGGAAATGTATCTCAGGTACTAACTTAGACCAGTGCTGGCTCCTAGGGTTTACTATACCATAGCACTCCATGGCCACCTTCATAAGCATCAGTTTTGCTATGCATAGTTAAATTGCTCTTACATCAGTACAAAATCACATGTATTCAGTGCAGAATTCACATCAACTTTTATAACCAAATGGGAGACTTTCAAACAAACAAACAAACAAAACAAAACTTACAACAAAGCAAATCTCTCCTGTTGAGGCTGACTGATTTCTTTATCGGTACGTATTTGTGTTCCTGTGGCATTGAGCAACTTTAAGGATCACCTGCTTTGACCGAATTAACCAGCTGCTTGGTTAATTTGTTAGTGGAAGCAGGTTTCCTCATTCAGTGCCTACTGTGTGCCAGGCACCCTGCTGGGGTAGGGAACAAGGAAGTGACATGCTGAATTGACCTGCTGGACCTTGCTGTCCTCAGACAAGAGTCAGGAGCCACTGCAAGCAGTTCAGCTCAAATAGCTAGCTGGTTCTTGTTTTCTTTTTCTTTTGTTCCCTCCCCTATCTTTTCTTTTGAGGCAGGGTCTCCCTGTCTGGCCTTGAACTTGAGATCCTCCTGCCTCAGCCTCCTGAGGGCTGCAATTACAGGCATGCACCATGCCAGGCCAATTTTTTTTTTCTTTGACAAATAGGACTTTTTATTTGTCACTATTAAAACTTTGAATTTTAGGCTGGGCTTGGTGCCTCACACCTGTAATCCTGTCTATTTGGGAAGTGCAGATTGGGAGGATCATGGTTCCAATCCAGTCCAGTTCAGGCAAAAAAGTTCATGAGACCCGCCCCCCTCCAACCAGTAAAAAGCTGGGCATCAGTAAAAAGTCATCCCAGTTACATGGGAAGTATAAATAGGAGGATCACTGTCCAGGCTGGTCCACACATAAATTCGAGACCCCATTTGAAAAACAATGAGAGCAAAAAGGGGCTAGGGGCAGAGCTCAAGTGGTACAACATCTGCCTAGCAAATGTAAAGTCCTAAGTTCAAACCTCAGTATCGTCAAAAAAATAACTGAAGTTTAAAAAGGTTCTTGGACTGGTGGTTCATACCCATCAGCTCATTTACTTTAGCACCTGTCTCCACACCAATAGCTTTTCCAGAACCTTCACTGTGAATCCATGAGTTTTACCAATTCAAACTTGGGTATCTTCAGCATTTTTAGTTTTCTAATGAGGAAAGACATCATGAAGTGGATAAATAGACTGGCAAGCCTGTTGTATGTCTTTCCCAGTGCTGTGTGGAATTAATTTATTAACCACTTCTTTCAAGTTATTTGTCTGTATCTCTTGGGTCATGGTTTCCATCATCTTCTGGATTGGCAGACCTTTTGGTGCTGAGTGTAGAAGATCTTGCATATCTGATTGTTGCATTTTTTAGTAAAACCAGACAAAGCAATTCACCTTGGGTAGTCTTGACATCAACATGAGCTTCAATCACACTGTTGTTTTTTGAACATGGAGAACATTTTGTCATGGGTAAGATTCATGCCATGGAAGTTAGTCAGACAGTTTTTGTCCTGAACATACTCAGTAGTTAGCTGGAATTCTCTAAATGTAGCTTTGTCATTCTGTAGACCAGTAAGGCTCACTTCAAACACATGACTGTTGAGGCCATCAGATTCAATTTTGGTTCCTTGAGTGCTAGTGACTAGTGCTTTTCCTATTCTTATAGTGAATATAGCTAATGCTTTCATATCTTAACAATCTTTTTTAGAAAATGGATCAACCACTTTCTTCTTGGCTCCTTTTTTGCTGCCTTTTGTAAGGTGCTTGTTCTTGCCAACTGACATGGTGCCGTTCAGATAGCCAAAAGGCCAACTTTTTTTTTTTAACATCTTGTAGGGGTAGAAGAGCAACTAAGAAGGATCACTGAAATAAAGCTAAATGATGGGAGGGCTCCCAGACCCAGACCCTGCCAGGCAGTCGTTTGCTAATGGCTTATTTGCTGGGATAAGGAGGCCTTTTGTTGACATTTAGTGTTTGCATCAGTGCCTTACAGGAAGTGAATCCCATTAACTCATTTCTCACTTTCCCAAGGGCTTAGTGAAGGGATGCACCCATGCAGAGGAAAGTCAGAGGTCCAGAAAGCACTGCCCTTCCAGCTTTGGTGCTAGGGATCTTTACATAGTCTTCCAAGCCACTATCTGTGGTCTAGGGCAATGCACTGTGCTCAGAGAGGTGCTGAGGAGCAGAGGAGCAGGGCTGAGTTCACAGGATGTGGGACCTTGCACTCCATCTACCTAGCAGGCACCCAGGGGGAATGGGACAAGAGAGGCAGAGGGCAGGGAGGGGGACCAGCCTTCCAAGGGATTCCCAGAGTGCTGCTCGCTCGACTCCAATCAACAGCCTGGGTGAAGTACAGGCTGTGAGGAGGGTCTGACTAGATCTCTCAGGGGGCCCAGGTGAAACAGGACCTTTACAGAACCCTGCAGGCTTAGGGACTATGGCAAAGAAGGGTGGTATTTCCCCAGGGACTGAGCAATGCCCAGGAGGCCCCCACCAAGGATGATGAGCAACAGGGAAGAAAAGTAAAGGAGGGAAGGATAGGGTGGGAATGTGCAGGGAAGGGACCTAGACAGAGTGACTTGGGCCACTCTGACCATTCCAGACCAGCCTGGGATTATAGTCCCCGGCCCTGGCTGTGATTGCTATGTGACTTTGGGCAGTTCCTTCCCTCTCTGTGCCTCTCTTTCTGTCTGTACAAAATGAGGAAGTTGGACTAGATAACTTGTGGGTTCCTTCCAGTCCTGACATCCTGTGAGAAGGGATGGAGAAGTCGAGGCAGCGACTTGGGTGTGTGGTGGGTAGTGAAGTGGTTTGGGGGAACTCTGTATTTCAGGTGCCCTTCACTAGGTACAGATCAGCAGGAAAAGTAAAAAATAAATAAATAAATAAAACCACCCAGTGATGATGGTTATACTCCTTCCTGGTGCCAGGCTCTGTGTTAGAAGCAGTCTTCTTGAATCGTAGCAAAGCCCATTAGCCTGACATCATAGGGAGGAAATTGAGTCTGAGTGCTTAGGTCATTTAAAGCCAAGGTCACCGAGTCAAGGAGCTGGAATTCCTGACTAAGAGCCTTTGGAACAGTGGGACAAAGGCTGCATAAACTCAGGTGTTCAAGAAATGTCACGATGGATTATTTTTTCAGGAGGAATCTAGTTCCCATCTCACCATATTGGAATGGAATTCCAGTTCAGACACTACCACAACTCCTCTCTTCCCCCTTTCTGGGGCCACCCTGTCCCACCCCTAAGGTCCTGCCAAGATTTCAGGAATCTTCTGGGAAGCAGGCTTCTGGGGCAAGCCACCTGCTGCCCTTCATGTCTTGTCTGTTGCTTGAACGATCTTCCATGGTCCTCTGAGGTGGCAGGCCACACTTAGGCATGGGGACTTTGTCAGGTTTCAAGCTCTCAGGTCCTCCCCTCCCCGCTGCATCTTTGTGGCACCCATGCTTAAGCTCTTCCGCTTTCTAGCTCGAAGACGCTCTTCCCAAAGCACCTGCAGCTGTCATTGCCTCTCCTCTGAACCCTGCTGGATTTAGAAACAGGAAGGTGGGGCTGTGTTCAGGCAACTTCTGCTTTCAGAAGCAACCTGAATCAATGTCTGGAGAGAAGGGAACAACAATACCTCATTGAAATGGGTTCAGGAGAGGGACTGGGATGAGGGAAAGGATCCTGCTCCTGTGTTCCAAACCTGGCTGCTATTGCCACGGGACCATCTGGCCAGGAGACTCAGCTGGATTTAAGGGTGTCTCTAAAGCCACTCACCCTGTCCTTACCCTGTCAGCACAAACCACTAATGCAGGCCTGATGGGAAAGTGGTATGGGTAAGGGGAACAGTTGGGCCTCCTTCTGTCCTTTGTCCCAGGTATCCCAGATGCCTGCAGTGGGCAGCCTCTCAGTGGCTTCCCACTCTATTCCCACTGCAGATTCTGGCACTGTGGTTGGGATTCTTGGCTTGGACCACCAGTGAATGGTGGGAGTTGGGGGTGGCAAACTGTATTCAGCAGCCGGAGCCCTTGCCAGAAATCACATCAGCAAACACATACCATTTTCTGACTCTGGGCACTGCAATTTGGGCCATGCAGACAGCCTTGAGCTTGTGGAGAGAAAGCCTGTATTGACCAGCTCTCTTGCTTCCTCCCCTCTGGACCTGGCAGGACTTTGCCTTGGCTTGTCCCCAGGCTGCCTGCTTACCCGGTCTGGCGGGCTCTCACATCTGCCCTACTTCACAGGCCAGGGAGGCTGGCTATATGCCAGGCCCTCCAGTCAGTGGCTGCTGGGGAAGAGACAGGGCAATCTCCCTAGAGCCCTGTAGCCTAATGGGCTGAGAGCAGGTGAAACTAGGGCATCTCCATTCAGACTAGAGGTGAGGAGTGGGGGCTTCCCTGAGGCCTGGTGGCCCCTATGCGGAGCAATTGGACACCCTTTCTCATAGTTCAGGCTTCTCACGCTGGTTTGGAGCCTTGATTTCCACCATCTTCAGTTCTAACCCAGGGCCCTGGAGCTCTATTAGTTCAAGCCTCAGCCACATCAGCTAATCCCCTGTGTGTAGGGCCAGGACTTCCAGACCCTGGTCCACTGGCTACGTGAAGGCTCCCAGCAGTCCAAGCTTCCACACACTCAGTATTTACTCTTTTAAACAAGTCTGCCAGTCAGTCTGGTAGGTAAGAACCCCAGCACTGGGTCAGGAAGGTCTGGATTCCCTATTCCTCTGTGTGATTTTGGGGGGCTTGCTCCATGTCTCAGTAAAACAGGGACAAAAATTTTCCCTGTGCCTCCTCTGTGGTTTGACATTAAAATGGAATGAGGTAAAGAGACAGATACCTGTCCTGTGTTACAGTCAGGTCTCTGATGCTCCTCAGCACTATCTGGTCATGTTACCAAACTTGCCTCTGGCACTCAAGGAGGCAGAGAGAAGGATGTGGCTGTCCCCACACTGTTTACCCCACTGCTAAGAGAGTAACTTGGGGCCTGTGCTGGCAGTGGTCACAGGGCATTTTATTTGTATTCTGAGAAGGGGAGGGGCGAGAAGGTGAGTCAGTTTGCTTTAAGAAACATGGTTCGCTGAGGGGCAGCTCTCATCTCTTCCCTCTCAGCTCACATGTGACTGTTTATTCAGGTCTCTGTCACTGCACGGGAAGATGTGCCTGCCTTTGGCCCCCCTCTGCCCAGCCCCCCTGTTTTCCAGAAGGTAAGAAATTCTTCTTCTGTTCCTTTCACATCCAAGGCCCATACTGGAGTGGCAGTTAGACTGGGGCAGAATTTGGGCTGGGGATATTGGGGAGGCCCTTTTGTAGGTCTGGGGGGAATCTCCTTACTTGGGTCTCTCCCTTTCTTGTCCCATGCTGCCAGTTTGGCCCAACATAAGGCCACTTTTTGGGGTGTTTGACTCTGGGGCTGCCTATCTGTTAGAGGAAGGGTTTTTATTCTATGCTTCAGTCCTAGGAGCTGTGGGCAAGGATTGCCTCTAGTCATGGAAGTGCCATATGGAGGGTTGATTTCTCAGGACCAGGAAAGCTGGTTTCCCTCTAGGCATATTGGCAGTGGGCCTGGCTTTAGCAATGATCAAATGTCAGAAGGGGCCTATCAGGCACTGTCCCCTCTTCCTGCCTGCTGCTGTGGCTGAAGCCCTTTTAGCAATGGCTGAAGGTGAGACAGTTCTAGGCAATCTTGTCTGTTCCAGGGCCCGGAGTTCCGGGAGTTTCTGCTCACCAAGCTCACCAACGCAGAGAATGCTTGCTGCAAGTCAGACAAGTTTGCCAAACTGGAGGTGAGAGTACAGGACTGAAGTCTTTCTCCTGGTCTGCTCCCTGGGAGGAAGGGGGTTGGGGAGTAGGGTCTCATTTTGGGGCCTCTTTGCCCATTTTGGGAGCATCTTTTCCTCTCTAAGCCCTGAGCCCTGTGTTAGCTGTGGGGACACTTTCTTGTTGTGGAAACTATCTATAATCCAGGTCTGGTCAAACACTCACTAGTCATTTATCGAGCACCTACAATGTCCCTTGTTCTGTTACCTGGAATACAGGGATAAGCGAGACATTGTTTCTGCCCTTATAGAGCTCACAGGCTGGTGGGTGGAGCCATTACTGAAGAGACAGTTATAATTCAGTGTGTCGGTTCTGGGCTATGATGGAGCCAGCTTTGCTCAGAGGATGGTGACCACTTCTGCCCTGGGAGGTGCTGAGGCCTGTTCAGGGAAGGCTTTTGCCTTCTTTTTTTTTTTGGAGGCGGTGGCTCTTGGGCTGCTGAATCTTGATGTCTGATGAAGCTTTGCTAGGACGAAAGAGTGGGGAGGTTTATTCCAGGCATGGAATAGCATGAGCAAAGGCCAGGCAGAATCGGAACTCTGTGAGGGAGCTCCTGTGGGGCTGGTGTGGCTGGCTGATGGAGGCGTCACAGGTCTAGAATGGTGGGGCAGCTGCAGATGGTGGTCAGGACAAATGAAGAAGGGCTGTAATGGGTGCTGTGACATACTTAGGCGGGAAAGTGATGTTTGATTTGCGTGGTAGAGGGATCACTGGCCAGTGGTGAGGACAGGTTGAAGGCGAGGAGGGACAGAAGATTGGTTGGTTAGAAGCAATTAATAGGAGTCTAAGAGAAGTGAAAACTGACACTCCACAGGAGGGAGCATTAGCTCTTCTGCGTGTACACTTTTCCCCTCTAGGACCGGACCAGGGCTGCTCTCCTGGACAACCTTCATGATGAGCTCCACATGCACACACAGGCCATGCTGGGACTGGGCCCTGAGGAGGACAAGTTTGAGAATGGGGGCCACGGGGGATTCCTAGAGTCTTTTAAGGTATGACCACAGGGGTGACTGGGGGTTGTTGTGGTGGGGCACAGGAGATGGTGTGGGGGGGCGAGGAGACAAAAGGAAGTGGTCTAAGGTCATTGGGATCCCAGTTCAAGAGTCTAAGGGCCAGGTAGCTGCAACAGGACCAGTCGGGGGATACCAGGCATTTGCAAAGGGTAAGGATGTCAGGAGTGTGAGAAGTCAATCAGCCTACAGTGTCTGCAGCGTCCTCCACATCCTTCCTTGTCCTGGATCATCTCTTCTTGGCCCATGAGTTGGATAAACAGGGACAGGTGGAGTTAGCGATGGGGAGGAGCCAGTGCAGATCAAGGAGAGTGCTTTTCTCAAATGGTAGAGTGCTTGCTGCCCTGAGTTCAAACTCAAATAAAATAAAAAACAAAATATGGTACTACCTCCTTTTGAGGCAGGGGAGCCTAGGGTAGGATGGCAGGATCAAGGACACAAACAAGCCTGAGGGGGCTTCAGCAGCTGCTGTGAGGTGCTAAAATGATCGCTCCCAGCTGGCGAGGCCCTGGAGACCTGACTGAGTTGGTGGGATAGAGTCATAGGCAAGTCCTTCTGGATTTTGCAAAGGAAGAACTTTTTAACCATAATGAGCTGCTAAAGGAAGTAGTGAGCTTCCTGCTTCTGAAAGTGTTCAAGTGGACCTGGACAGCCATGGAACTGGTGTGGGGCAGAGAACATTCATCATCGTGTGCTGACTGTTTGTTGGCCTAACATGTGATTTGATCCTGGCTGTAATTTTGTGTGGTTGGCTGGATGGTTATTTAAAAAAAATTTTTTTTTTGGCAGTATTGGAGGTTGAACTCAAGGCCTTGCATTTTAGGCTTGTTTTCTACCACTTGAGCCATGCCACCAGCCTTTTTCACTTTAATTATTTTTGAGGTAGGGTCTTGCTTTATGCCTGAGCCAGCCTGGACCTTAATCCTCCTATTTATGCATTCCTGCACAGTGGGGGATGACAAGTGAGTGCTATTGCACCTAGTTATTTGGACAGTTATTTCTTGTTTCTACTAGCATATACAAGGACAGGCTGAGAGAGGCCACAGGATTGCTCAAAACTTTATGATTTGGAGGTAGAGCCTTGTTTTAAATATAGGCTTTCTGATTCTTAGCCCAAGGTTCTGCTGGATTGCTCATCAGAGAGCGATTCATAAAGATACCATTTGGATGTAGTATGCATAGTTAGGATTAGATATGAGTTCAAATCCCAGCTCTGTGTGGTGCTAGGCAAAATCTTTTTCTGTTTGTTTTTTTTTTTTTTTCAGCATTGGGGTTTGAACTCAGGGCCTCCCATTTGCTAGACAGATGCTCTACCACTTGAACCTCATGTTCACTCTAAGCTTAGAGTCTTTAATGGCTCTAAGCTACAGTTTTCTTGTTAAGGACTCAGGGACAAAAATTGGACCTCTGTTATAGAGTTGTGAGAATTCATTGAAACAATGCCTGGCAAGTGTTTATTGTCTACAACACAGTAAGTGCTCAGAAGCATTAGCTATTATTGTAGGATACATTGTGTTAGCTGCATCAGATGGGATACATATTATCTTATTTTAAACCTCTGGTTTGCCCTCAGTGCCTATAGGAAAGGCTAGTATTATAGGTATAATAATTTTGGCATAATAATTCAGATACAATTTTAATAATCATGTGTATAGTTTTATATGTGAGGAAATGAAGACTTAAAGAGACTAATTTGTCCTAAGTCATCCTGGGGACAGAGTTGAATTCAGGACTTCTAGATTCCAAAGCCTGGGCTCTTAATAACTACATGATGCTCCTTCCCTGTTTCTGACTCTGAAGATTCCATGCATGCTGGCCTGGGCCTGGGCAGGCTGGAGTCCATCCCTCACTGCCCACCTGGACCACTGAAGGCAAGGCATGGCTCTGCTGGCCCCGGCTGAAGCCAGCTGCTGAGATTCTTCATGAGAGTGGGAGGAGGAGTTGAGCTGCTTATCCAGGCTGGTGAGAGATTCCTGGCACATCGTTTCAGTACTAATGGACAGGGGTAGCTACGGTGAAAAAAGAAAAATTGGGAGATGAAGATAAAAGAAGGAGCCAGGTCAGATGGCCCAGCTGAGAGAGGGATGACTGTGAAACATGGTAATAGGAAAACAGGATTGGGACTGGGGATGGCAGATAGGCAGGGCCACTGACAGGCATTCTGAGGCTCTGGAGTCTTTGGAAAGCTCTGTATCACCTCATGTTAAGCACATCCCACAGTAAATGTAATCTACATGGAATTATCATTTTAGCTGTAGTTGACATGCTGACATAATGCTGTATTTTGCAGACATTTAATGAAGCATTTGTTTCTTAGAGTTTTGCAGGGGTTTTTTTGCATCTTAGAGTTAACAACTTTTGTCAGGTTTCAAATATTTTATAACCCAGAGAAACTTGTAGGCTGTGGTGTGGATACTTTGTCCATGGTAACCAATGAATGAGGTGGCCCAACATCTACACACAGGTGGCAGGTCTAAAGGACCATGGCCCATGGCAATTTTGTCTAGTCCCCTGTCTCTGATAGGAGTAGCAGTTGGTCTGTATGTACTCCAATGGGTTTCTGTGGGAGGTTGTGCTTTGAGACTTTACTATGACTTGTCTTTGAACCAATATTCAGTGAATTCTTCTTGCTAACCCTAAGTCACTGCAATTCTGGTTCTCCATTCAGATTTCATACTTGTCTTGAGGTTATACTGTGGGGGATGGTTGGGGAGGGGAGGAGGGGACTGCCCTGATGATTGTGAACAGCTTCTTTTTCCACCCACCTAGGGAACACAGATTCTCCTGTGCTGTCCCTTTCACTATTGCTTTCAGGTCTAGGCCTAGGGCAGGGCAGAGGTCTGGTCTGGCTCAGGAATCTATCACTAGTTTAGGTTTTTCTTATGGTCAGAATTATTGACATTTCTCATGGAATTCATCTAGACCTTCATGGGATCCCTCTTGAATGAAGAGTTGCCTGAAACAATTCTGGGAAGAAAACAAGCATGTTGCATCACCTCCCTGTGAAAGTTCTCATTTCATACCAGATGGGAACACAATAAAATGGCCAGGACTGAAAGCAGTCCAATCATCCATCTCCTACTCCCCTGAGACTGGTCTTCCCCAACTCTACAGGGCCATGACCCCTTGTGCCACAAGAAGCAGCTTTGCTGTGACTCTAGTCCCTGCTGCCTGGAACTTTGTGTCACATGGAGTAGTTCTTAGCAGCTTGCTGTACTACCACTGGCTGCAATTGAAACTTTTCCTCTGTGAGACACAGGCCAGTTGATTTATGGACACCTAGACCTGCTTTTCAAACTGAACTGTTTGGAGGGATTCTCAGGGACCTACCAATACTTTTAAAGTTTGCGTTTTCACTTACACAACAGTCTAAAATGTATAAATTTCCAACATAAAGACTAAACTTGTTCAGTGATGACTCACAATTAAAAGATGTTTCCAGGGTGTAAGTTGGTGGATTATGATGCTAGCATTGCAGATGCAGCCCATGGGAGTCTGTGGACATATTCTTGGGAATCTTGGAAGAACATTTTTCTTCATAAAGGAGATGTACATTACTCACCTGTGAAAGAGAGTGATCTCCTTAACGGAAAGTGATGATGTTTTTTTGTATCATATGATATGGACCTAAAGCATGTGTGCCATATTTTGAGAAACACTGAGCTAGCCCAGCCCTCCACTGACCTCATCATACAGGAATGAGAATGGAGTCCAAGGGAAGACAGAACTGGGACCACAGCAAACAGGGTGTCAGGCTAATTTCTCCCAGCCCTTGAAGGATGGGGATAGGTAATGCATTGGTATGACCTGACCCCTAGTGGCAGGACAGGCCACAGACATCTAAGTATCTACAGGATCCCATGGGTACCCTAGGCAGAGGCAGCCTGAGCAGCACTTGTGATGATGGATAGAGCACACTGGAGCTGGGTAGAATCCCCAGCCTTTGGCATCTTCGCCCCCTCCTTTCCCTCCTAAGACAGGAAGTTGGGGTAGGAGGATTGCCCCACTGCCTTTGGTGATCCTCCAGCTTTGTGCTGGTCTTACTGAACTCATGGTTTGGAACCACAGTCTGTATGACAAGAGTTGTCAGCTTCTGTCTTGCATTTGCCTTGCTAGAGGCAAATGATGAATCTCACAGTCTCCCTGATTGACCCCATCTCTGTGGGCAGGAAATTAGCATGTTTTTCTCCAAGGCCCCCTGCCTCTGTTACTTGCCTCATTCAGGTATGCATGTCTCCCTTGGAGTTCATCTCTTTGATTTTAATCCCTTAAATATTTGTTAAGTTAAAATGGACACCGGTGATTCATACCTGTAATGCTAGCTACTTGGGAGGCTGAAGTTGGAAAGATTGTGGTTTGAAGCCAGCCTGGGAAAACAGTTCAAGAGACCTCCCCCATATCCAAAATAACCAGAGCAAAATGGACTGGAGGTGTGGCTCAAGCAGTAGACTGCCTGCCTGCTTTGTGAGTGCTTGCTTTTGCAAGCACAAAGCCCTGAATTCAGACCTCAGACCCATCAAAAAAAAAATTAACTCACAAAACCCACTTGTAAAGAGAAAAGAAGTATAGATGGGATGGAAGGAACTGGCTCCCTCTGGTGCTCAAACTGGGGGCTGAGATGAGGTGACATATATATAACTAGAAAGAGATACCTTCTCTCTGTTCTCATGCCTCTAAAAGAGAACCAGTGGAAGGTAAGCAGTGAGGTGTGCCAAGGGCTGGGATACCATAGTGACCAAGAGTGGTTGATAGAACCAGGGGTGATCAACCAGGAAAACAGCAAGGGCAGTCATGTGAAATAGTGGGATAGACTGGTCCAAGATTCCAGGGTCTACAAATTTAAGTAAGAGTTCCAGCTTTTTACATGGAAGAATTTTCTGAAGGTCAAGCCACCCACCACTAGAACGGGAAACTCTTGAGTGCAGTGAGCAGCCCATCCATGGAGGACACTAGAAGAGGGCAGATGAGCTCTGTCAGGGAGGGTTAGGGGCTGAGTGAGAGGCAGCCCAGATGATCCCTGGAGACCTCCTAAAGCCAATGCAAAGGCTTCACCTGCATGTCCTCTGTCTTACTTTCCTCTTTCCATTACCACTGCCCCCCTATCTCTTCTTCTTCCTTTTCCTTTCTCCTCTTCTCTCCAGTGTGAGAAGTTTAGTGCATCTATGTAGTTGCTTATCAGACTGGAATACAAAACTCTTTAGACCATGTCACTGGGCAGTTTCGTTCAAATCAATTATGATTTGGTAGCTTAGAGTCAGTTGTAACTTGTCTCTCAAAATAAGGAAAGCTCACCCTGAGTTGGCATATTTCTTTCTTCTTTTTTTTTCTTTATTCATATGTGCATACAATGTTTGGGTCATTTCTTCCCCCTTCCCCCCACCCTCCCTTACCCCCCCACCCCCTCTCTCCCCCCCACCCCCTCTTTACCCGGCAGAAACTATTTTGCCCTTATCTCTAATTTTGTTGAAGAGAGAGTATAAGCAATAATAGGAAGGACCAAGGGTTTTTGCTAGTTGAGAT